AGGCTTGTGGCAGATTTCACAAAGATAAATTTTGGAAACAGAGTAATGCAAACAGTTCTACTTTAAAATAATGTAAAAGCTTTTCCTCCAGTCCCACCCGATTGTGCTGAAACTTCCTTTTGGAGATTTTAATGATGAAATGGCATCTGGCATGAGATAATTCTGACTAGAGAGAAAAAAATCTCTATTATCTTTACATGATTCCCTCCCCTTCTTCATTTTTACAATAAAAAGGCTGACTGGCTCCATCATAACTTAAATGTAGCATTTTGGGTTGCACAGAAAAGCGAGTGACCCATTAGGTCAATTAAATCCAAACATGAACACAATTTCAAGTTCAATACTTTGTTTCCTCTGGCAACAGAATGAGAACACTAAGCATGTAAACAGTTACATCACCGTTGCCTAAAAAGTGTTCCACTACAAAAGAAACATGCCTCATGCATATTTCTGGCCTACCAGCACACTCAAAAAGCAAAAAAAAAAAAACAAGAAAAGTCATACCATTCACTCAAAGTACAAATGCTTATCTAAATCTAGGAGAAGAGAGAAGTGTGTAAGAGGTTATTTAGCAAAGAATGATGCTCTGTGAAAATACATTAAACCAAAGCTTAACGTACTTCCAGAAGCCAATGCACGTAGTAAGCATCTCTTTTATTTGTTGTAATATAAAGAAGCATACATCATTCAGTTCTTTAAAGTACAACTCAAATTGTACACTAACAAAAAGGATCAATTCAGACGTCCATGAACATGTCAACAACAGAATTAATTACATTTTGCTCTGCTGGTATTGCACTTGGAATGGTTTTGAAGTAAGGCACAGTAAAAACAAAGTCATTTAGTGCTTCTACAGCAGATGTCTTTTTTTAAACACATGCTACATGACATAAAAGTACTTCTAGCTTATGTATGTACACATGGGAAAAAGAAAAAAGCATGCACTAGAGAATTCAGATTTCAACATATCTTGTTGTTTCATAATATACAAATAAAGTAAAGATGTAAACAAATTGCATGCACATAAACTAGAGCAAAATCTTTAATACAGTATCTGAAAGCTATTATGCTTAAATAAAAAAATATAACTTATCAGTACTCAGGTTTATGTGCCATTTTTGTCCTGTAGAGATTAAAAGTTTGCGGCTAGGGGCAGCAAGTTATGGGCAGGCAGGGAGGGTTTTTCTGATTTTGATGTTGGGTTTATTTTTTTTGCTTTACATGTCGGCAGCAGTACACTGGTAAGAAAGACAAATATGGCTTTTGCAAAACAAGGTCTAATGAAAACATGAAAAAGCACAATTGCATTTGGGGTCCAGCATCCTGATCTTTTCCAGTCGAGAACAATACAAAACAAAAATCAATATGATCTACGCTTTGAACTGGGTAAGTCATGCATTCCAAAAGACCTTCCTAAAGACATTTAAACTCTACAAAAAACAGGACACTTTGTCAAGTGTAAACTCTTAAAAACTAAACACAGAAGAATCTGACTCAAGCTTCGCTTTCCACTTCAAATGCTACTAAGTTTCTCCCAAGGCTGCAATAGCTGAAGTGCTGTTAGACTGTCTTCAGAATTAACTGGATGCCAGGAGTGGATTTACTTATTTTTACACAAGTACATTACAAATTAAGTAAATTAACTGCATAATTTTTGCTTTCACTTTATCTTTGGCATAGGATGCACCATTTTTCAAATCAAGTACAGGACATTTACCACTCTGCATTCCAACTTGTTATGCTGAAAAGGCACATTTGTTGCTGCCTGGGTGGCAAGGGAAGACTTGTTATTTTGCAAAAGGCACGGTGTCGAGTGCGACATCCTCTCCTCCTCCCCCAGAGAGAGTTCACTTAGACCAGGTACAATTCTACACAGCGGCTTCCCAGGAGCTGTCCGTTTTTCTCAGCCACTGCTTCCTTAGCCAGATCCAGGCTTGGAAAAGTCACCAATGCCTCGCCACTGGGCTGGCCACTAAAGTTGTAAAGCAGGAGGATGGAATCTGCTTGGAGCTGCAATGGTACAAGAAGACAGAAGAAAACACTATAAAGACCAGAGACCACACCTGGAAATGCAATTTTTAATGCTGCACATCTGGTTCACTCCACTCCTGTGTCTGTGGTGAAAATACTCTGGATGTTGAGAGTGGGAAGGAGGAGAAGGGATCAAAGGTTAGAAGAATTCAGCTTTTAGCTTGGCAAACAGCAGCAGCTCTTGTTCTGCTGGTGTGCTGAATAGAATGGTGTAGACATAATTCCATGCAAAAATTTTGCTAGAGAAGCAATTGAAATTAAAGGTTGATAAGAAAATAAAGACATAGATGTTATTAAAAGGTAAATGGAGCAAGAAAGTCCAGCCATTCAATGAATAGTTCTTGTACTATGTGGACTACTGGCCAAGTGACAAAGGATATATATAAGGCATGTCAATACTCACACACACAGTTTAAAAAAAAACAAAAAAACAAAACAAAAAAACATACACAAAAAATAAAAGAGCTGTCTTTATGAGTTCTGTGTTGGGAGGATGAGCTGAACTCAACACAGGTATACAGCGCAAGAAAGATTTTTCAGAAAAATGAAGTAAAATTTGGTGCAGTCCAACTGAAATAAGTACTCATTGTAATTTTAACAAGGCTAAGAAAAAGCAGAGTAGCAGATGAGACTATTTAGTCACTGGAGTTGATTTACTTTGGAGAGCATAAGCCCTCATAAAGTCTTAAAAGGCAGTTCCAAATTGCTGAGTTCAAAGCAGACATCTGTCTGCCCTGTTGTACTCCAGCCATTTCCCATAACATGCAGGAAGTACTTCCAAGGTAAGTTTGGAACCCCTGTTTGTTGGATAGAAATGAATATCAGTGAAGTTTCAAAACCAAAGGCTGAAGGATCAAAAGCTCAGCATACAAGGTTAATTTGTTGGAAAAAACAGCGTCAGACAAAACCAGTTTTAGGAGTATTAACCCAATTCAAGTTAGGTTCATGTGACATATGTCCTCTTGAGCTTATAAAAGGTTAAAATATTTAAGGGTTTCACTTTTGTAGAATTTGTGTGTCTGGTATACTGTAAGAAACAGAGTTCTCAGTTATTACCAAGAGCAGTTTCTGACAGCTTTACATTCAAACATATGGAAATAAAGCAAGTACACGCCAGAGCTTCACTTACCCAAACACTGAGCAGGCAGTACAAATATTCTTAAGATATAAGCAACGGTACACATTAGAAGCCAAAAGCATGCATAAGACAGTTAGTACAGACTTTGCTTTATTTCTTCTCAGGTAACTGAAGTTAGTCAAGAAATAGCACACAGAAAGGGATTCGAAGACAAATAAAAACCCTCACACCTAAAGCCCACTTCAAGTTTGGAAGTAATCTTGGTTTATTTCAGAAGAACACTGTGCTCAAAGAGAAAGTTGAACGCAGTTCGGGTTAAGTCACAAATCTGAGCTAAAAGATGCTCTACTCCAAACAAGCTCTTTGTTATTAATCCTTATGGGATTAAGTCATTTACCACCAGCCCAGAACAGAAATTTAATATTGCAGGTTAGAGTCAGCTGAAAACACACATGGAGCACAGTTATACCTCTAAGCACAGAGAAGAGCTTTAAAAACATAGTTTATTGGTGTAACACCAATGCAAGGATCTGGAAATTCACGTTATAAGAGTTGCATAGAAAGCTAGCAGAGAAGTTTATGCATTCTGCAAGCAACATAATTAAAGGAGTTAAATAAACCCCTTCGGTTTCATTTTAAGACACACTAGTGTTAAGTTCTTATTCACATGGATTTATAGAGATAGAAATAGATTTTCTTTATGTACATTTGTGTTTTATAATTAGATTCAGATTCATAGAAATATTTTTTCTGGAATTTTTTTTAATTCTAAAAAGAGTGGTATATGTATAATACTACTTTGAGCCACTTAGAATTCTGGATGAGCTACTCCATGAATTAGTCAAAGACTTTTTCCATGCCATACATAGTAGAAACCTACTGCTGATCTGGTTTTCCAGTTAATCACCAGACCAGCAGCCTCTAGTCCATCTGCTCCCCAGCAGATCCAACAGTATAGTGAGAAACCAACTAATTTGAAAACAACTGAGTTGATGGTGTTTATGTGAAAGTACCTTTGTCTATGAAGGTAATTGTCTCAAGGCACAGTATTTGATTGCCATATTTGTACTAAAAGTTTGTTGTGGTTTTTTTCTTAAGGAGAAAAAAATATACTGACTAATCAGTAGCATTTTGAATGGAATACAATAGTACTGGGGCATCCAGTACTCCACACAGGCCACAGCGAGTTCTTTAAGAATTATGTGTTAGTGCCAAATATGCAGGCAAGTTTACTGTTAGCAAATCCAGTTAATTGCATCAGAAAGTCACTGTACCCAAAAAACCTCTCCTAAAAAAATAATGTAATAGCTCCCATTGCATTAGGGAGATGAAGAAACAGAAATATTAATCTCCAGCCAGTTATATCATACAGAAAAGACAAAGCCAGAGGTCTGGGGGTTTTTGCCCACACCTTAGTGCGTGCTTTGTAGCAATAGGAAGAAAAAAATCATCTTCTACCACTCCGCTAAAAGTAAAATATTGGACTGGAAGCTTTCCATGAGAAACAAGCACTACCAAACCCTGCTGGAAGTTGAACACACCGTCTGAGCAGAGCCAGGCAGTCACACTGCCCCAACACTGCTCCCCCAGCCCCGCATCGCAGCAGGCCCAGTTCCTCAGGTTAGTCGAGTTTTTAAGCAGAAGGACTAATGCAAGGATCCCAACGCAAGCCAACAGGGGGGAAAAGCCACAAAAAAAAAAATCTCTATCACCAAGCCCTTCTTTCCCTTCCCATTCACCTCTGAGACACAGGTTCTGCCCGTCATATCTTACCTTCTCCAGAAGTGACAAAGAGTTACAAACAGACCCACTCTTTCGGTGCTTGTAACACACTCCTGGCTTGATCGCTCAGCTGAATGAGGCCATTGTAGTCCTCGGGGGCGTACTAAGTACAATGTGACACGGGACAGTCAGCAAGGGAAGGAACAGTCCTGCTACAGCAAGCCACACACGTGATCATTTGCAACCATAATTAAGAGCATCAGCTATAATAACTGGCAGGAGACAGTGAATTTGACAGATGCTATTTTTATGCAAGATTAAAAAAAAAAAGTACATCGACTGTATTACTGGTCGTAGGAATAGATATAAAATAAATGCTCATGGGGAAAATTCTGAACTGTATTTGAACTGTTCCTTATCGAGGAAGGGAAATAGCTCAGATCATAAAGTGCTCCTTTTTTTCCCCTTCTACTCATGAGATGGCAGCATCAGGTAACCAAACTCTTCAGGTTTGCAGGAGCATAATCACACCTGCAGTGATGGCTCTCACTGGGGCAGATGAGCATCTCCCAGCCTGCACACTGAAGTGGGGCATTGGCAGAAGTGTATGGATCTCATTCAGACCTTTGATGTACCTATGGAAATAAACTGCACCTTCTCTAGGGTAGAGTGATAAACACTTTAACTGCATATAATGCTTGCACTACACAGACTACACCAATGCAATTAAAGAAAATCAGTGTCCTGGCATGAATGCACCTACAAGATAAAATTTATACCAGTGTGGTATATTTCTACACAGAAAAAAGCAATAAATGATTCAGTGTAACTGCATCATGATAGATTTGTAGAAGTAGTATATTAAAATAAAAATAGTGACTATACAGTACAGTCACACCAACAAATCAAAACAAAAACCTCATATAGTACCAGATCTAAGAATTACTTGAGGTCCTGAATCTGAACAGTAATCACACATACTATTGGCCTGGTACAAATATAAAACATATAGTCAGAAAACACATCTTGGGGAATATGAAACATTGTTTTTATCTCAATCTTGCCAAATTATATATCCTGGAAAAGAACTGAGAATTCTTGCACATGCTGCAAAGAGTACTTGAGTGGCTCCTATAATCCAGAAGACAAAGTGTGCAGCATAACACAAATTATTGAATATCCTTTTGGTGGCAAGAAGGTTTTCCTGCCCTGCAAAATGGCTGTTTTGCACTAACATTTTAGATGATTGCCAAATGCACACGGTATGGATGTACTATGCTGCCTTCCTTTGATATTTCTATAATACAAAAAGTCTCCTGCCAGCTTAGGGAGAAAAAGGTGTTATATTTGGGGATACAGGACACATTGTCTCCATCCAAAGGGAAGTTGAAAAGAAATAAACAGCCAGTATACACCTTTCACAGAGAACAATAACCAGGAGCCCAGAGAACATAAAAGAAAAGAACCTCCCAGAATTTTTACTACTGAATTCTAGTCACCTTCACATCTAGACCCACGCCATTAAGTAGAAGACAAATATAAGAAGTATTTTCTAGATAGTCTCTGCTAGGGCAACCAGACCGTGCAAATATTAGATTTATCAGTTCCCAGACCTGCCCTTGAAACAAATCTACAAAATGTAAGTTTACTCTTTGGAAAGAATGTCTCAAGATAGTACATACTTTAGATTATCAGTAGATGTACAGTAGGCAAAGATCTACAGGCTCTTGTGAGGGACAGTATTTCAAAGGTTACGCTTGAAATGCAATAAACAATGTTGAAAACATGAAAGTGGGAAAACTATCCTGCCCAGAAAGTCAAAGTTGTCAGAGCTCAGGCTCAGACCTAAAGAAAGAGAAACAGAAAGAAGAAAAATAAAATCATCAAAAGACCAAGCGATAGAAGTAGTTTCTAATCACAAGAACAATAGGTAAGAGACTGCAGTCAATTGAAACAGAAGCTGTGGAACAGTCAATTCTTCAAATGAAATAAAAACTACCCTAATTTGCCTGAGTAAGTACATGATTGTGAATACTTCTGATTCTATCTGCATTTCAGAACCCATAAGAACAAAACAAAAGTATTCCACCACACAGGACAAAGCCAAGGGTAAACTGGTTAATAGAAGTAGTATACTACACTTTCTCTTTGTACATTTTTTTTTCTCTTTCATTTCTTTCGTCTATGATGAGAGAAATATGGGACTGTTCTCATCCCCTCACAGACTATGCACAGATTTAACCAGGTCACTAACCAGTAAGTCATTGATTTCCATTTCATTTTTGCAGTTCCTACAGTGAACATTCAAAGCTCAGTCTAAAAACAGCAGATACAAAGTAATCTAGGGGGGAAAAAACCACCACTGCTAAAAAAAGCCAAACAGGAGCGTATATTTAGATACACCTCAACTGGGAAAAAATGGGAGCAAATAAAAGGAAAACATCATAGGAAAAATGGCCACTTCCTGGATGGCAGCTGCAATTATGGCCTAAACTACCAATAAACCAGAACAGTTCCCAGAGGGGTCTCTCAGACTTTGGAAAAAAGCATAGACAGACAAAGTGTGGAACATAAAAGGAGTTCTGATGACCAGGTAACTGCAACCTTTAGCACAAGAGGCAGGAGAAATGCCCTAAACTGGCTGTGCCCCTGAAGTGTCTCAATTGTACCGTAAGAATGCTGATACTCCCCAGAGCCATGGGACTGCTCCGAGGAAGGGACACCACTGGAATGGTTTGTGTGTCACAGAGACCCCACTGGAATGGTTTG